AAAGTTGTGCTGGGCAGTGCTGCATTAGAATGTTAGATTAGTTTGTTTGTTGATGCAGCTCCGCATCTAGAATTGTGTCTGGCAAATAGTAAACCTCAAGAGATATTTGTTGAATGATTGAATATTTCTAAAGGAAATTTTGTACAGCTCTATGAAATGTTCAATCAAATATATGGCAATGCATTTTTTTTTGTATTGGCTTATTTCCAAACAGGGCATATCTGTGACAAAATGGATTTAAAATAATTAGATATGTTTTGGTGAAGGTAATAAACACTGTACCTTCACCAGCTCTGTGTAACTATAGATTAAATTGAGTAAGACTGCACAGCATTCACTATGTAAACTTTTCTTAGTTTGGGAAGGAGAATGAATTTTTTTTTGTTAGACACTGAATTTGTTAATTTCCTTTGTTCTACAATGATAGAAAATAATTGGAAATACAGATATCTCAGGGTATACACAAAATTCAAATTTATAAAGAAATAATACATTTTAATTGTTTCATTAGATTTCACATAGTGATTTAAATACATTAATAGTGTAATTATTACTAAGAAACAAATAAATAAGGAGATACCAATTGATAGGAATATTTTGACTGGCAAAGGAAGCTACTTTATGTTTTCATCATTAACCACTAATTTACATTAAACACATGCAACATATTTAATTTTTAAAGTTAGACATTTGTTATAGTTATCCTTATAATTTTAGCTATTAGACTCCTACTATTTACTCAATGTAGAACATATTTCTCATTATGCAGCTGAAGTTCCTCTCCTACATTTTCATACTGATATCACTAAATAAAAGTCAAATTCTACATGAAAAAACTTTCCATAATCAGAAATTATTGGTAAAGGACATGCTAGGTATCATTCATCCTTTATAAGAGAATATATGAAAAAGAGTAAGTATGTAGTTTGTTTAAAACACCTTGGTTATATGGGGATACAGTAAATTTACTTCAGTATACAAGTGAATGTGCCGACAACTTTTTTTTTCTGCTCAAATGCTGATTTGTTCTCTATCTGAAAAGTGATGAAGTCTTTTTAAGATGGGCCTATCCTCAGCATCCATTATGTTTTTCTTTTTATAATGTAAAAACTATACATTCAATATTAATAAAGAATGCTCATATATTGAATAACCAGAACTAATATTTTTTTCGAATCACAAATTATTACCAGCTCAATGAAAATTTTAAAATATAGAAAATAAAAAAATCACTCATAATCCTACCACCTAGAAATAAAGGATATGATCTTTATACCCTTTTTGACAAATGTGTGTATATGGAGGGGATAGGTCAGTGAGGGAAATTTGCTGAGTACATACAGTGATATAGCAAAGGTGATGTACTATATACAACTTGTGCCTTCTTTTTCACATTTGAATTAGCATTTTAGCATATCTATAAATTTAATTCTATAGCATGCCTTTTAATATCTACATACTATTTCACCATTTAGATATACCATAACTTATTTAACCACTTATCTATTATTGAACAAATATCTTTGTGAGAGTTTCAGTAAAATAGTTTGATGTAATGTGCTTTTAGAATACTGAAATCAGTTTTAGCATATAAAGTGATTCCTTCTTTCTTTCTGCTGCATAGTACTCCACTGTGTAAATGTCCCACAGTGTTTTGATCCACTCCTTTACTGATGGGCACTTAGGCTGTTTCTAGCACTTGGCTATTGTAAATAGCACTGCTATGAACATTGGGGTGCATAGGTTCTATCGAATTGTTGTACCATATGAGCTGACTCATAAGTGGAACCTAATCAACAAAACCAACCAGTAAGCGAAAAACCCCTAGAGACATGGAAATAAAGAAGAGACTGACAGTGACCAAAGGGGCAGGGGACGGGGAGATCAGGGGACAGGAGGGGAAGGGGCAAGACACACATGTAAAGGACCCGGGGACAAGGACAGCAAGAGGGGAGAATTGAGAGCAGAAGGGAGAGGGGAGGCAGGGCTGGGAGAGTAATGGAGGGAAAAATGGGAACAACTGTAACTGAATAACAAAAAAAGAATATAAAGTGGTCAACAGCATTAACTATGTGTTATTTCAATTCACATGTCTGTTGACAGAGTTTCAGGAATGGTCAGAAATAGAGTATAAATTCTCAAAATTCTACAGGATCAATAAATCAGTAGTTTATTCTTGGTTTCACTCATTAACAGTTTGTATTTCTGGCTGCTGTGGTTTTCCTCATTACAGTGGTGAATGAATATTATGAGTTTTTCCAATTAGACATTTTATCTGTGAGAATGATAAAGACCTGCTTTACCCTGGGTTATGGATACTTCAACACCAATAGTCCCTTCTGACAGTTGAACCAATTCTAGTGTAAAATTGTTTACACTAGAATTGTTAAAAGTGGGTTTTTTTGGACTTAATGCCTGTGTTTCATACGTTTTCTCATATATATTTCTTCTTTGCTAAGTTGCATATTTTTATAGTTTAACTTTTCTTTCATCATTTTAGAGACTATTACTCCATAAATGGCATAGTGATATTATACCATACCCCAAACACCCAGTCCTATGAATATACAAACATTATAAACATAAACCATTGTTAATTTAGTCAGGAATCAATAAAAACCATCTCAGCACAACTTATATTAAATGCTATAGTCTAATCATCAGTAATTATAAATTCTGAAGGATCTGTTTATTAAAGGAATGTCTTATTTACATATTCAAAATGAGTCAACACAGTTGAAGATGATATTTCACTTTTTATTTTCTTAGATATAATCCAATGATAAAACCAAATTTAATTCACTTATGACTACTATAAATAAAGACCAAATAAAATATATTTAATATATTTGTGTTTTTGTATTCATCATTTGAGTTAATCACAAAAAACAGTTTTGCCAATTCTACTTTAATGACTACATAATGAAACTGAAGAACCATTTTGTTGCTTTAAAGGGTCATGCTCCTAAATGTTAAACATTTTCTAAAACTGTATGTTTACGGGCTTAATTTGCTTAGACAATTATACTTAAAATGTTATAAATGTAAATTATTATAATTTGAAAGTTAGATGATTGAACTAATGAAGTTTATGTATCTGTTGGGGATGGGTGGGCAATAAGGAGCCACTTACAGGAGAGTACAGGTGTCTTAGAGTATCTTTAGGTAAAGACTGTTTAAAATTCTTGAGGAAAAAGAGCCTGCATTATAACTCTTTATCACCTACTTTTTAATTGCCTTTTTTATAAATCCAAATGTAGTATAAACTTGCTCTTTAAAAAGAAATCTAGATTTACAAGTCCACATCCTCCACCAACTCCCTCCACTCCCTAAAAGTGTTCCATTTGGTCAGTCTTTATAGGTACGGAGTGTCTGACAGTGTCTTATACGTAACAGGCATTTCAACATCAAATGGATGTGACTCCAATAATTCTGTCAGATTTTCATCATTAATATGGAATATATAAGGTCAAAAAACTCTAACAATACCCTTGCGCAAGAACTTCACATTTCTTTAATTCAGATTTTCAGGAACCTCTTAGGTATATGTAATATAAAAAGTTATGAATGGGATGTCTGAAACACCATAAATGCTTTCTAAAATATGCAACTTTTTTCTTTGAAAAGATATTTAAAAGACTCAGGCACTTATATAAGTAGATCCGATTGTCAATATATAGAGGTTCACCCACAGAGAAAATAAAATTCCCATATGTTCGAACACTTGGCATCTGTGTACGTCCCTTTCCTATTTCATGCCGTGTTCCCAGGGCCCTATGCTCTGAATGCAGATTCAGTCTGAAGGAGAAAACTCCTCCAGCTACTAATGAGGGGACGTCCAGAACTGCTTCCTGCTTAAAGTTGTCCCCTGGGGGTGAGTGTGGGTGCTGGCATTCCTTACTGTGCACTACAGACAGACAACACGAGCAAACTGGGACATTTCAAGGACACTGCATAACTTCAGGAAGAGTTGAGAGAGAGGAAACAGACTGTGCTCTAAAATGTTTTAGGAAATGCAACTTTCTTTTATTTTTGGCCTGGAAAAGAGTGGAAATAGAGAATAAGAATGAAAAAGAAATTATTGTGGATTTACTTTGAATCTGGGAAAATGCTGATGTATACAAATAACAGAAATAGAGGAAGTGACAAAACAATTATCTTAATATAACTATTCCATACAGTTAAGCATTTAATTTCTTTTTGTGTTATCTGTATCTTTAATTTAAACTATAAACGCCTTCCAAGTAAAAATTGTGTTTTATTTGCTTTAGCAAATAAATATTTATGATGTTGATAAGCTATTTGAGGACAAATGTTTATAAAATCACAGAGCTCTTGTAAATAAAAAGTCTAATAGACCTATTGTTAATTATTTATTAATAGCTCTAACCCTTCTAGAAGCAGTTAATTTTATGTCTGGTATGTCAATATAATTTGACAAAATCAATATAAATGTTATAGCCATGATATTGAAAATATATTTAGAAAATAAACCAAAGTATGTTCATGGAAAATTTTATCGCCATCCTTTAAATCAGAGTATAATCAGCATTTAAGAAAACTGTCCATATTTAAAAGTTAGGTTCAAAGTAAATGGTAGACTCTGAGGTTCAGCAAAATTTTCTTTGTAAAAATCCATATAGTAAATATTTTAGGGTTGCAGGACATATGTAGTCTTTATCATGATCACCCCATCTTCGTTTGCAATGTGAAAGAAGCCATAGAAAATACATAAATGAATTATATATTCACAATTAAGTATAGCTGTGTTCCAATAAAACTTTATTTACTAAAACAGTCATCCAACCTATGGACTGTAATAGGCCAACCCTTGAAGTAGATTATGTATTAATACAAGTAGCATTAAATGGGATAGAGAAAGGATAATTTAATCTTTTTATAGGTAAAAAGTATTTGTGACATTTTCCAGATCTTCATTGATTCTTAAAATAAACAAACAAACAAACAAACAAAAAACTTAAGTAGTACATAAATCTTACCTGGTTAGGTATCCTCAATGGGGGCCTTGGACCGCCAGGGTACCGAGGTGACATAAAAGGCTATTAAAATAAAACAAACAAATAAACAAAACCAAACCAAAAAAAAAAAAGCACAATGTAAAATACAGATCTGAAAATAAATGGCCTAAAAATTTTTAGAACTATACAAATCATAAATCAATTTACTTCCATATGCAATTGTTTTCAGTAGAATACATGCTTTTAAGAAAAATTACCACTGTATTTTATTTTTTGTAGATTATCTGCAAAATTTTTTAAGAAAATTGTAAAAATACCAAAAATGACTAAAGTAACTAAAATTTTTAAAATGTGAATTATTACTAAGATAATGATATCTAACTGGCAAAAAGAATTAAGTAATGTAGGCAATTGAATCTCAGTAAAGACTTCAGGAAGAGGCTTACTGGCTGCATCATTATACAAATTGGGTTCCAGATATATACTTTTGATTGAATTATCCAGTTTGGTTATCAAGTTCATGTAAAATTTTAGAGTTTCCAAATTTCTTCACCTTTTCTTTTGTAGCTCTGTTTAAAATGGTAAAGATATTTCTTTTCCAAGAGTCACTGTGGTTAAAAGAGCTCTGGCTTTACTTAAGGGTTAGTTATGATTCAAAATTGATTATAAACTTTCAAGTAGAAATTGCTTTGTATATTTTGAGACTAACAGATTATGAAGTGTGTATTTTTAACAAAAAGTGGTCTCATATTAAAATTCTATTCAATTCATTTTGTTAGATGAATCAGAAGCTGCTAAGATATGTTGACTGTCAGTCCAAGAACTGTCTGAAAACATCATTAAAGTATCATTTTAATGATTATTCAATGTTGAGTGGAAGGAGAATATGTTTGATCAGCCATATTAGGGCACCAAAAGTTTTTAAGTTATTCCTCAAATTATTAAAAATTCCTTTTTTATTTTCTATAAACAGTAGAAAAATACTATTTAATTTTATCAAACTACATAGTGTACTTAAATGTAAGATTATTCCTTACATTGAATAGAAGCAAATTATTAACGCTAAAGTATTGACTATTACAAAGTAAAATATTAAGAATGAATTTAGATAAATAAGAATCAATTTAACAAAGGCTTGGGCAAGATAGAGTTGTAGTATTTTACATAATATAATTCCACATTTATAATATATTTTCTAAAAACATATTTAGAAATTAGGCCTGTAGTTCTTGGCTACATATATTTCCCAGGGCTATTTTAAAAGCAGCATCTGAAATATAAAATCCGAAAATATTTATGCTATAGAGAATTTTTATTTTTTACTTTTTAAAAATTCATTTGGGTGACATTGGTTAGTAAGATCATATAGGTTTCAAGTGCACATTTCTAAGATACATGATGTGTACATTGTGTTGTGTGCCCAATTATTTTTGTATAATATCTTCTGGAGGGTCTTGACAACCAATAAGAGGAACATTAGAATTAGGTGAGGAATTTGGCTTTTTGCTTATTGTGGTCTCACATATTAATGTATTTCTAGGGTATCATTTTAAATGAACAGAAAAGGTGGATTATTCAGGTGATAACATCATCTGATAAAATGTAAGTACATTTTCCAAGTTTAACATTTAAAAAATGCCTAGTTTACACATATCTGATCAAAGATGTTTCTTTTTTATCATTTCTGAAACTCTACCCTAAACCGGATTAGTTAAGTATAATGCCAACTATTTAGGAATGTATTCCAATATTCATACTCCCTCTGCTATTTTCCTAATACCAATTTCATTTACGAAACTGTTTTTTCAACTTCTGGACTCATTAAAAAAATTCAATAATTAAATGTAGTGTTATTGAAATCCTAGAATGGTTGCCTTTCTTTCACAAAGAGAAGTTATATGACATACTCATGAATCCAAAGTATAATTTCTATTTAGTTTTTCAAACATGAAGAAATAAAAATGGCTTACTAATAATTGTTGTCTATAATAAATTCACTTTGAAATGGAATATGATGTAGAAATTGTTAAAAAATATTACTAAATACCAAATGCTGAGTTAAACATCGAGAAAATTTATTTCAAATGGCTTATTTGAAACAGAGCATTTGAGGTTTTCATGTTCTTCTGAACATAAAATGATGCTATGGTGTTAATTTAAGGAACTATTTGAAAAGAGAAATTCTTCTGTGTGTATGGCACTGTGAATAAATGCACTTTAATGGGGTTGCGGCATTCTCCTCTCTGACTGGGAGACGTCATCACGGGACTGCCGAGGGGAGGAAGCAGCGCGGGTCGTAGCTGGGACCCTGCACGTCCTGGCAGAGGGAGACTGCGAGAGAGACACACACCGTCTCTTTTGTTATTCCTTCTGTGTGCTTTCCCCCAAGGCATTCAAATTTATGGTTTATTTTTTTTTTTTGGCAGAGAAAAAAGAAGGAAAACCACTTATTAATTCCTGTCTATTGTATATAATGAAAGCAAAAAATGACAAAAACCAGTTAATTTAGATTTAAAAATCTACTACTTTTACCTAAAATGTAATGACTGCTATAGGTAAAGCATTTTAAATATTAAAATAATGTTGTTATAAGCTTTTAATATCCAGATTGATTCATACAGTAAATTATCTGGTTAATCATCTAGGTTCTCAACTGCCTACTCGTTGAGTTATAGACACAGCAGCAGAACCCAAAAAGAGTTTGCATGCTAGCAACTGAGAATATTCTATACAAACACTTGTACTTCGCTATTCAGAAGTAAGCTTGCTTTCAAATATAATGTTAGATATTGAAACAAATTTAAATTATTTATGGTAAAATGTGAATCTAAGAGATTACCTGCTAATAATATGAAGTACATCTATTGGCAGACATGTGAGTACTCTCTGCACTAATAACCTTGGAAGAACATGTTCTTCATATTTGGGACACAATTTTTTTAATAATTTGGGCATCAAAACAATTTGCATAAAGGTGTCAGGAGGTGAATCAATATTTTAATTGGAAAAGCCTTCCCCTTGAAAAAGTTATTTATACTGCGTGTACAAAGAAACATTTGACTGGAAGTGAAAGACCTGGATTCTAGCTTTTGTACCACTAATTAATTAGCAGATGGGTCCCTAAGAAAATGAACTTTCAGGGCTTGAGTCTTCTCAGCTTAAAATGAGGGAGTTGGACTAGATGATCTCTAAAGTTCCTTAGAAAAATCAACAAAATAAAAGCCCATGATTCTGTGTTGATTATTTCCAGCATTACCCTTGGCTATAAATATTAATATATTTGTAAATATCTACCAGTATTTGAAGTGGGGGGGTAGCCTGGGGGATGGTGTGATAAGCATATGCTCCTAAGGCACAAACCGCCTTTACTGAGGAGCTGCAGACACCTATTTCCATGCTTTCCAGAGGAAAAGGGAAACTCCAGTTAAAGAAAAAAAAATACTCCAACAAACAATTATGCTTTGTTCAGATCAAAGGTTAATAGGGAGAATTTAAAAAGTTGCACTTATTGATTAAAATGTATCCTAGAGATTAGTTCACTCAACAAATATTTATTAAATACCTACAAAGGCACTATTTTAGTGGTTGGACATATCAGTGAATAAAGCAGATAAAGATCACCCTGCTGCTTAGGATTTTTCAAGGTTCAGTCTTGTAATTAATAGAAGAAACAATTTTCTGGGAAAATTGTTTTTTACTATCAGTCCACTAATCTGGAACAAATAGAATGTTCTTGTCACCAAATGGCAAGTATCAATGAAAACCCAAAGAAAACAATATTTCAATCTGGTGCCTTCCCTCAAAAGTCATATGACATCATCTCTATTTGATAGAACATGTAGTGCTATGAATGACTGAAAATCAAAGTTATGCTATTTAAAAAGTTTTCCAAATTAGACAAAACTCACAGAGTAAGATTCTTTATGATGTGGTGAATTGAGTAGTACATGTAGCACTGCGACATACGGAAATTACATTTACAGAAATAAATTCTTATTTTTACATGTTTCAGTTGTCTGCCTGGAATGACTGGGATAAACCAGAGTGAATACAAGTATACACAAAGCCAGAAAATCAATAAATATTTGATGACTAAATGAAAGGGAAAAAACAGAAATACAACTCAAGTGTCCATTTCCTCCAAATGGTCTTTTAGAGAAATAAACACAAAATTTGTAATCATAATTTATTTCATTATAAATATCACTCAATTTTAAAGGATTATTATTTCCCATTATATCAAGAATTATTCATGGACTTTAAACTTCAGCTTTTCCTAATTCTTCTTTTCTAAAGAGAGATTTCTCTTTCTTCTTTGCCCGTTCTGCTAGTGGAAAGTAGTAGTCTTCTTTTTATTTGGTCTTTCATAAGCCCTTAGTGTTTTATCTCAATTCCCTAAGAATCAGAAATGATCAGCTCTTTCCTCACACTTGTTGAAGGTACATTTCTCAGTCCAATTCTTTCCTTCTCTGAAGACCCCAGACCTCCCTGCCAAGGGAATGGTTTTATAAATCATTTACTAATACTAAAATAACTGGTGATAAAAACCATTTAAAGTCCTTACTTCTCTGACTATATACAAAATCCAGCTGGACACTTTAAATGAAACATTGTTCAAATGTTATCAACTTTGTTAATATTTTCTAACATTAATAGTTCCTAAAAAACCTCTAAGTATGATTTATCAACAGGAATATTCTCTATTTCTTGAGATTACTCTGTACTCTCTCTGCCAAGTAAATTTCTATTAATCCTCTGAGGGCCAGTTCATGTTATTTCCTCTTTAAAGAATCTTTCTAGTCTCCTTTCCCTCTACGTCCTTAGTGCTTTGTTTATACCATTATCATAGCGGTTTTAGTACACTGCAGTGTAATGTGTACCTTGGTACGTAGAAAATCCACTCCAGAGAAAAAAGAACAAAAAACTGTGTCAGGGCAAGTCATTACCTTAATGCGAGGCTGCAAAATGTAATTTATCCATAAAATAAAATTGATATCTTCTAGAATCCTTAAAATTGATGTAGCAACATATAAATCACCTTGAATCTTATTTTAAATATTTCAACATGGCTTTAGAAACTC